ATTCCCATGGATTCCCCCCCAGGAATGGGGGTTTGGGATGGGGGGAGGGAGGGATGGGATGGAAAGTTTGGGATTATTCCCATGGATTCCCCCCCAGGAATGGGGGGTTTGGGATGGGGGGATGGGGATGGGATGGAAAGTTTGGGATTATTCCCATGGATCCCCCCCAAGGAAGGGGGGGTTTGGGATGGGGATGGGATGGAAAGTTTGGGATTATTCCCATGGATCCCCCCCAAGGAAGGGGGGGTTTGGGATGGGGGGATGGGGATGGGATGGAAAGTTTGGGATTATTCCCATGGATTCCCTCAGGAATGGGGGGTTTGGGATGGGGGATGGGGATGGGATGGAAAGTTTGGGATTATTCCCATGGATTCCCCAGGAATGGGGGTTTGGGATGGGGGGTGGGGATGGGATGGAAAGTTTGGGATTATTCCCATGGATCCCCCAAGGAAGGGGGTTTGGGATGAGGGGGATGGGATGGAAAGTTTGGGATTATTGCCATGGATTCCCCCCCCCAGGAATGGGGGGTTTGGGATGGGGGGGTTTGGGACTCACCGAACTCCCCCGGGGGGGGCGGGGGTCCCTCGAGGGCCGCCAGGAGGGCGAGCAGGAGGCGACAGGAGGGTTCCCCGCGGGCCACCAGCAGAGCCCGCAGCCGGCCCGGCCAGTCCGAGCCCCCCGGGGGTCCCAGCGCGGCCACCTCGGGCTCCGACACCGCCCCCGCCGCCCGCAGCCCCTCCAGCAGAGACCACCCCGGCACCCGCGACAGGCGGCGGTCCAGGGACAGACCCCCACCCCGGACCTGCTCCAGGGCAGACATCGGCACTGGGGGGGAGAAAGAAATGAGGTAAAAACAGAGAATAATGGGATGAAAATGGGGGATAATGGGGTGTAAATGGGGTCAGACCAGCCCGGCACCCGCGACAGGCGGCGGTCCAGGGGGAGACCCCCGCCCCGGACCTGCTCCAGGGCGGACATCGGCACTGGGGGGGCACAAAAATGGGGGAAAATGGGGTAAAAATGGGTGTAAATGGGGTGTAAATGGGGTTACACCGCCCCGCAGCCCCTCCAGCAGAGACCACCCCGGCACCCGCGACAGGCGGCGGTCCAGGGAGAGACCCCCACCCCGGACCTGCTCCAGGGCGGACATCGGCACTGGGGGGAGAGAAATGAGGTGAAAATGGGAGTAAATGGGGTAAAAATGGGTGTAAATGGGGGATAATGGGGTGTAAATGAGGTCACACCGCCCCGCAGCCCCTCCAGCAGAGACCACCCCGGCACCCGCGACAGGCGGCGGTCCAGGGAGAGACCCCCGCCCCGGACCTGCTCCAGGGCGGACATCGGCACTGGGGGGAGAGAAATGAGGTGTAAATGGGGGATAATGGGGTGAAAATGGGGGATAATGGGGTGTAAATGAGGTCAGACCGCCCCGGCACCCGCAGCCCCTCCAGCAGAGACCACCCCGGCACCCGCGACAGGCGGCGGTCCAGGGAGAGACCCCCGCCCCGGACCTGCTCCAGGGCGGACATCGGCACTGGGGGGGAGAGAAAATGGGGTAAAAATGGGTGATAATGGGGTGTAAATGGGGTTACACCGCCCCGCAGCCCCTCCAGCAGAGACCACCCCGGCACCCGCGACAGGCGGCGGTCCAGGGAGAGACCCCCACCCCGGACCTGCTCCAGGGCGGACATCGGCACTGGGGGGGACAAAAATGAGGTAAAAACAGAGAATAATGGGATGAAAATGGGGGATAATGGGGGGTAAATGGGGTCAGACCAGCCCGGCACCCGCGACAGGCGGCGGTCCAGGGACAGACCCCCACCCCGGACCTGCTCCAGGGCAGACATCGGCACTGGGGGGGACAAAAATGGGGATAAATGGGGTGAAAATGGGTGTAAATGGGGTGTAAATGGGGTTACACCGCCCCGCAGCCCCTCCAGCAGAGACCACCCCGGCACCCGCGACAGGCGGCGGTCCAGGGAGAGACCCCCACCCCGGACCTGCTCCAGGGCGGACATCGGCACTGGGGGGAGAGAAATGGGGTAAAAATGGGGTAAAAATGGGGGTAAATGGGGTTACACCGCCCCGCAGCCCCTCCAGCAGAGACCACCCCGGCACCCGCCACAGGCGGCGGTCCAGGGACAGACCCCCGCCCCGGACCTGCTCCAGGGCGGACATCGGCACTGGGGGGAGAGAGAAATGAGGTAAAAACAGAGAATAATGGGGTGAAAACAGAGAATAATGGGGATAAATGGGGTGTAAATGGGGGATAATGGGGTGTAAATGGGGTCAGACCACCCCGGCACCCGCCACAGGCGGTGGTCCAGGGAGAGACCCCCACCCCGGACCTGCTCCAGGGCAGACATCGGCACTGGGGGGGACAAAAACGGGGGTAAATGGGGGATAATGGGGTGTAAATGGGGGATAATGGGGTGTAAATAGGGTCAGACCACCCCGGCACCCGCGACAGGCGGCGGTCCAGGGACAGACCCCCACCCCGGACCTGCTCCAGGGCGGACATCGGCTCTGGGGGGGACAAAAACGGGGGTAAATGGGGTAAAAATGGGGTGAAAATGGGTGTAAATGGGGACAGATCACCCCCCCGGACCTGCTCCAGGGCGGACATTGGCACTGGGGGGGCACAAAAATGGGGGTAAATGGGGGTGAATGGGGTAAAAATGGGTGTAAATGGGGGATAATGGGGTGTAAATGGGGTCAGATCAGCGCGGCACCCGCGACAGGCGGCGGTCCAGGCAGAGACCCCCACCCCGGACCTGCTCCAGGGCAGACATCGGCACTGGGGGGGACAAAAATGGGGGTAAATGGGGTGAAAATGGGGGTGAATGGGGTAAAAATGGAGGGGAATGGGGTGAAAATGGGAGGGAATGGGGTGAAAATGGGGTAAAAATGGGGGTGAATGGGGTGGGAATGGGGGTGAATGGGGTGAAAATGGGGAATGGGGTGAGAATGGGGGGGAAATGGGGAGAGAAATGGGGATGGGAATGGGGGTGAATGGGGTGGAAATGGGGGAGAAATTGTGTTGAATGGGGTTAAAATGGGGGGGAAATGATTGGGAAATGGGGTGAAAATGGGGTTTAAGTGGGGTGAAAATGGGGTTTGAATGGGGAGGAAATGGGGGGAAATTGGGGTGAAAATGGGGGTGGAAATGGGGGGAAAATTGAGGTGAAAATAGGGGTGAAAATGGGGGATAATGGGGTGGAAATGGGGTTTGAATGGGGTGAAAATAAGGGGGAAATGGGGTGAAAATGGGGTTGAAATGGGGGAAAGTTGGGGCTACTGGGGGAAATGGGGCTACTGGGGAGTAAATGGGGGGCTGCTGGGGAAATGGGGCAATGGGGGGCAATTGGGGCTGCTGGGGGAAACTGGAACAACTGGAGGGGAAATGGGGCAACTGGGAGGAAATTGAGGTACTGGGGGCAAAGGGATTAATGGGGGCTACTGGGGCAGTGGGGGGCTACTGGGGCAGTGGGGGGCTACTGGGAACAACAGGGGGCAAATGGGGCTACTGGGGTGATGGGGGCAACTGGGGGCTACTGGGACAAGGGGGTTAATGGGGGACGGTGGAATTAGTTGGGAGGCAACTGGGAACAACTGGGGGCAACTGGACCCCTGGAATGGGCAACCAAACCCCCGGGGAGGGCACGAGGGATGGGGAGGGGGGCAGGGAACGGTGGCTGGGGGTCCTATGGGGGTCCCGATCCTATAGGGGATACTGGGGGTCCTATGGGGGTCCCGATCCTATAGGGGATACTGGGGGTCCTATAGGGGGTCCCGATCCTATAGGGGATACTGGGGGTCCTATGGGGGGTCCCGATCCTATAGGGGTTACTGGGGGTCCTATAGGGGGTCCCGATCCTATAGGGGATACTGGGGGTCCTATGGGGGTATTATAGGGGGTCCCGATCCTATAGGGGACTACTGGGGGTCCTATGGGGGTCTTATAGGGGGTCCTGATCCTATAGGGGATACTGGGGGTCCTATGGGGGTCCCGATCCTATAGGGGGTACTGGGGGTCCTATAGGGGGTCCTGATCCTATAGGGGACACTGGGGGTCCTATGGGGGTTTATAGGGGGTCCCGATCCTATAGGGGATACTGGGGGTCCTATGGGGGTTTATAGGGGTCCTGATCCTATAGGGGATACTGGTCCTAGGGGATTTATAGGGGGTCCGATCCTATAGGGATACTGGGGTCCTATGGGGGGTTTATAGGGGGGGGTCCCGATCCTATAGGGGGGGTCCCGACCCCATAGGGGACACCCTGGGGCTGCTCCTCCCCTCCCCCCGGGGTCTAAAGGGGGGCTGGGCTGTCCCCTATAGACCCTTCCCCCCTCCGGGGTCCCCCGTACCTGTTCGCGACCCCCCCCGATCCCCTCCGGGCTATTTATAGCCCCGACCTTGGGGGCGCGGCCGGGCCCCGCCCCCGCTGACGTCACGGGGGCGCCAGAGGTCCCTATGGAGTTCCGTAGGGTCCCTTTGGGGTCTCTTTGGGGTCCCTTTGGGGTCCTTTGGGGGTCTCTTTGGGGGTCTCCCTCTCTCCCGCCCGTCCCCGCCAGGGGGCGCCAATCCCACCCCCACCCCCGCGCTGGCCCCGCCCCTTTCCCTCTTTGGCCCCGCCTCTTTCTCCGGGCTGTACCACTCGAGGAGGGGGGAGGGGACCCCACCCCCCCCACGGGTGGCGCGCGCCGGCCGAGGCCATAAAAGGGGCGGGCGTGGCGCGCGGGGGCGCAGTGCGGGCGCCACGTGGAGCGGGAGCGGCACCGCCATGGCCTCCAACGGTACCGGGGACGGCGAGCGGGGCGGGGGGAGAGGGGAGAGGAAGGGACGGGGAGAGAGCGCGGAACCCCCTCGGTACCTCGGGGCGGTGGGGTACAGACACCTTCCCCCCTCCTCATAGATTCCCTCACCTCGGGGAGGGTCACAGACACAGCTCCTCTCCCCTCACAGATCCTTCCTCACATCGGGGGGTGGGTCACAGACACCCCCCCTCTGCCCCTCACAGATCGTTCCTCACCTCGAGGAATGGGTCACAGACACCCCCTCTCCCCCTCACAGATCCTTCCTCACATCGAGGGGTGGATCACAGACACCCCATTTCCCCTTCATGGATCGTTCCTCACATCGGGGAGTGGGTCACAGGCACCCCATCTCCTCCTCACAGATCTTCCTCACATCGGGGGGTGGGTCAGAGGCACCCCTATCCCTCATAGATTTTTCTCCTCACCTCGTGGGGGGGGGGGGCACAGACAGCCCCTCTCCCCCTCACAGACCCTTCTTCACATCGGGGGGTGGGTCACAGGCACCCCCATCCCTCATGGATCCCCTCCTCATTTCGGGGAGTGGGTCACAGGCACCCCCACTCATAGATCTCCTCCGTACCTCGAGGGGTGGGTCACAGACCCTTCCTCACCTGCGGGGAGGGTCACAGATATCCCCTCTCCCCCTCACAGACCCCTCCTCATTTTGCGGTTTGGGTCACAGACGCCCCCATCAGTGAGGGGAGAGGGTCACAGAAACTCCCCCGTCCCTCACAGACCCCTCCTCATTTTGGGGAGTGGGTCACAAACACTCCCCCTCTCATAGATCTGCTCCTCGCTTCAGGGAGGGTTGTGAGAAAGATCTAATTTATTTCCTTATTCCTCACAAAGTGGGTCACAGACACCCCCCCCCCTCCCTCAGAGACCCCTCCTCACCTCGCGGGGCACAAATTGCCCCTCTCAGCCCGTATCGGGGGGTTTTTGGGGGGTCTGGAGACACCCCCGGTAAGGCGGGAGGGGATGAGGGTTAACCCTGAGAGAAAGGGGGGATATTCCGGAGCCCCCCGCGCTTAAAGCCGCTTCCTCGCGCTTTTTCTTTCATCGATAGCCTTTTAAACGCTTAATTCCCTGTTAATTATCGTCGTTTGGCGGTTGTTTAATTGTGAATTTCTCGTTAAGTGGCGGGGGGGGCTGTGATTTGATGCCTCCCCGTTTCCGCCACGCCTCGAGCTTGTTCCCTAATTCTCATTTCTTCTTTTTCTTTCAATATTCCTTGAATATTTCCCTAACTTGGCGTTTCTCGCCGGTTCTTTTAAGCCCGAACCGTCCGTTTCGCCTTTCATTTGTATGGGTTTTTTTGTTTTTAATGGCTAAAACCCTCGCGGGCGGCGCCGAACAAAGCGCCGCGCCCCGGGATGCTCCGCGCCCTCACCGGGAAGCGTGGGGATAACCCCCCAAACCCGCGATTTTAATACCAGAACAAAACCTTAATTTTTTTGAGGGGATTCGGGGTGTTTTGAGGGATTTTATCACCCTTTTTTTTTTTTTTGAAGGGTTTAACGGGGCTCTTCCCCCCCCCCCCCCCCCCCCGGCCGCCATTTTGTGGTTTTGCCGCTGCGCCACCGCCGCCATTTGGTGCGCGCGGCGCGTGCGCGGCGCCGCTGCCGCAGTGACACATCCGGGTCCTTTCCCGCTGCTCCCCCGCCCCGTTAAATCAATTAAATCAAAATAAAGATTTCAGTTAATAAAACAACACCTTTCACACGCCCCCCCTTCCCGTGCGTCGGCCTAAAAACGTGAATTTCGGGGTAAAAATCCTTGATCTTCGCCGTTTCTTTCACGCAAACCCGCTGCGAGGCGGGAAAGGGCCGCCATGTTGGGGGGGGGAAGCCTGAGGGGGGAGCTCAGACCTCCCTTTTGTTGTGGATTTCTGAGGGAAAATCGCAATTTTTTTAGCGGATCTGTGTCTTTGTAGTTAAATATGTAATAGAGAGTTAAATTTTTTCGTTCGTTGTTTTGTTTATGTCGCTTTTGGGGGCTGTGCGAGAGTAAATACAGGGTGCTTTGATCTCCTTTTTGTTGAGCGGAGCCTGAGGGGAATCTGAACGTTCAGCTTCGTCTGACGTCTAAATCGTTAGTTTTTTAACACTTATATCGCTTTTATTTACGTTTAAAAAAAACTTAAACGCGGTGGGTTTCTTCTTTATTTTCGGGGTGTGTTTTGTGTTAGAACCATGTGCTTCCACCCCGCCTTTTTGTTGTGCGGTACCTGAGGGGAATTTTAACGTTTTCCATTCTTTATTTTGCATCTAAATAAAATGGATTTATGTTTATCCTTTTTTTTTTAACGTATAAATGGTTGGATTTGTGTGTGTTTTTAGGGGGATATTCCTTGTTCAAGAGGAGCGTTTGTTCCCTCCTTTTGTTATGCAAAGCCTGAGGGGAATTTAAACGTTCACTTTTACTTTTGCATTTCAGTAATAAAATTTACTTTTACTCTTTTTTTTATTTTAAAACTTTATTTTTTTGTGCCTTTTTTTTTTTTTTGGGCGGGAAAATTCCCTCTGAAAGAGCCATTTGTGGCTTTTGAGTGGATAAAACGCCCAAATTCCTCGTTTTGTGCCTTGGCTTCGCAATTTCTGCCTTAAAATCCCTTTGTTTTCATAAATAGTTGTAGTTTTCTTTGATATTTTTCAGGTTACAGGTAGATTATACCACATCAACATACGTTAATGTTTGATTACAATAGCGTATTTCATTGTAGGTATTTTTTAGTTCTAGTTTTAATTTTGGGGGGGAATTCTATTCTTTGCAATGGTAATGTTTAATATTTATTTATTTATTTGTTTATTTATACAAATAACGCAAATAATTTGTGTTATTTTGTCCTTAGATTACAACCAGGCTCTATAACACAAATGCACCTTTCAACATTTAATTTCAAAGCTGTTTTTTGCACCTAAATTTGAACTTTAATACAATATTTATCATTATTTCTTTTGCTAAATTACACCCAGACTCAATAACACAAAGCCACCTATTAATATTTAATTCTAGGGCTATTTTTACACTTGAACTGAGCTTTTAATACAATATTTATTATTGGTTTTCTTCTAAGTTGCAGTTGGAACCTATAACAAACACAGTTATTAATAGTTAACTCTGGGGGTATTTTATATTTGTTAATTCTGATTTTTGACCCAGTTTCATTTCTCACCGGATTACAGCCAGGTTCTGCAGCACAAACACAGCTATTAATAATTAACTTGGGTTGTATTTTACACTTGGTAATTCTGATTTTTGACCCAGTTTCTCTCTTTTCTCCCCCCAGATCACAGCCAGGTTCTATAGCACAAATGCACCTTTTAATAATTAACTCTTGTGGTATTTTACAGTTACAACATTCAATTTTTAACCCATTTCTCAGATTCCAGCCAGGTTCTATAGCACAAATGTATAACTCAAACACAAGTCTCAACACTTAATTTTGGGGGTATTTTACACTTTATAATTCTGATTTTTAACCCATTTTTCCCCAGATTACAGCCATGTTTTGTAACACAAATCTATAACACAAACACACATACCAATATTTAACTGTGGGAGTATTTTATGCTTATAAAATCCAATTTTTAATCTGATTTTTAACCCAGTTATCCCCCAGATTACAGCCAGGTTCTGTAACACAAATCTACACACACACACGTACCTAGTGCTTAACTTGGGAGTATTTTACCCTTATAAAATCCAATTTTTAATCTGATTTTTAACCCATTTGTCCCCCAGATTACAGCCAGGTTCTGTAACACACACACACAGTTCTTAGTGCTTATATTTGGGGATATTTTACCCTTATAAAATCCAGTTTTTAATCCGATTTTTAACCCATTTCTCCCATTTCTTCTCAGATTACAGCCAGGTTTTGTAACACAAATCTATAGCACAAACACACATACCAATATTTAACTGTGGGAGTATTTTATGCTTATAAAATCCAATTTTTAATCTGATTTTTAACCCAGTTTCTCTCATTTTTCCCCCAGATTACAGCCAGGTTCTGTAACTCACACCCACACAGTTCTTAGTGCTTATATTTGGGGGTATTTTACGCTCGTAAAATCCATTTTTAATCTGATTTTAACCCAGTTCTCCCATTCCCCCAGATTACAGCCAGATTCTGAAATACACACAGCCTTAGTGCTTATTTGGGGTATTTACACTTATAAAATCCAGTTTTAATCCGATTTTTAACCCATTTATCCCATTTCTTCTCAGATTACAGCCAGGTTCTGTAACTCACATACACACAGTTCTTAGTGCTTATATTTGGGGATATTTTACCCTTATAAAATCCAGTTTTTAATCCGATTTTTAACCCAATTTCTCTCATTTCTCCCCAGATTACAGCCAGGTTCTGTAACACAAATCTATAGCACAAACACACATACCAATATTTAACTGTGGGAGTATTTTACCCTTATAAAATCCAGTTTTTAATCTGATTTTTAACCCATTTATCCCCCAGATTACAGCCAGGTTCTGTAACTCACACCCACACAGTTCTTAGTGCTTATATTTGGGGGTATTTTACGCTCGTAAAATCCATTTTTAATCTGATTTTTAACCCAGTTTCTCCCATTTCTCCCCCAGATTACAGCCAGATTCTGTAGCACACACACACAGCTCTTAGTGCTTATATTTGGGGGTATTTTACACTTATAAAATCCAATTTTTAATCCGATTTTTAACCCAGTTTCTCTCATTTCTCCCCAGATTACAACCAGGTTCTGTAGCACACACACACAGCTCTTAGTGCTTATATTTGGGGGTATTTTACCCTTAGAAAATCCAATTTTTAATCCGATTTTTAACCCAGTTTCTCCCATTTCTCCCCAGATTACAGCCAGGTTCTGTAACACAAATCTATAACACAAACACACATACCAATATTTAGCTGTGGGGTATTTTACCCTTATAAAATCCAATTTTTAATCCGATTTTTAACCCATTTTCTCCCATTTCTCCCCAGATTACAGCCAGGTTCTGTAACTCACACACACATAGCTCTTAGTGCTTATATTTGGGGGTATTTTACACTTATAAAATCCATTTTTAATCCGATTTTTAACCCATTTCTCCGATTTCTCCCCAGATTACAGCCAGGTTCTGTAACACACACACCCAGTTCTTAGTGCTTATATTTGGGGATATTTTACCCTTATAAAATCCAATTTTTAATCTGATTTTTAACCCATTTTCTCCCATTTCTCCCCAGATTACAGCCAGGTCCTGTAACACAAATCTATAGCACAAACACACATACCAATATTTAGCTGTGGGGGTATTTTACCCTTATAAAATCCAATTTTTAATCCGATTTTTAACCCAGTTTCTCCCATTTCTCCCCAGATTACAGCCAGGTTCTGTAACTCACACACACACCCAGTTCTTAGTGCTTATATTTGGGGGTATTTTACCCTTATAAAATCCAATTTTTAATCCGATTTTTAACCCAATTTCTCTCATTTCTCCCCCAGATTACAGCCAGGTTCTGTAACACAAATCTATAACACAAACACACCTACCAATATTTAGCTGTGGGGGTATTTTACCCTTATAAAATCCAATTTTTAATCTGATTTTTAACCCATTTTCTCCCATTTCTCCCCAGATTACAGCCAGGTTCTGTAACTCACACACACACACACACACACACACAGTTTTTAGTGCTTATATTTGGGGGTATTTTACCCTTATAAAATCCAATTTTTAATCCGATTTTTAACCCAGTTTCTCCCATTTCTCCCCAGATTACAGCCAGACGGCGACACAAAGGTACCTGCCCCGTCCCCCCCACCCCCTCACCCCCATTCCCATCGGGATTTATCCCGTTTTTTCCCCCTCCTGACCCCGTTTTCGCCCGTTTCTGGTGCAGCTACGGCGCGTACCCCACGCCCCCCAGCCAGGGCTACTCGGGGCAGAGCAGCCAGCCCTACTCGCAGCAGAGCTACTCCGGCTACTCGCAGTCCACAGACACCTCTGGATACGGCCAGAACAGCTACAGCTCGTCCTACAGCCAGACCCAGAGCAGTACGAGCCCCTCCTGCCCGAACCCCACCCCTCCCGGCGGGGATTTTGGGGGGGTTTCGCTCTTAATTCGTCATTTACGCCCCTCGCAGGTTACAACGCCCAGTCGGCCCCGCAGCCCTACGGCAGCGGGGGAGGGTACGGGACGGGGCAGAGCTCCTAGAGCTCCTACGGCCAGGCCTCGTCCTACCCGGGGTACTCCCAACCTCCTGCTGCCTCCTCGGCCTCTGGAAGGTGATTTGGGGTGAATTTTATTGGGGTTTTGGGGGTTTTTGGGGCTGTGGGACCGGACAGAGCTCCCAGAGCTCCTACGGACAGGCCTCGTCCTACCCAGGCTATTCCCAACCTCCTGCTGCCTCCTCGGCCTCTGGAAGGTGAATTGGGGGATTTTGGGGTGAATTATTGGGGTTTTGGGGGTGTTTTGGGGCTGTGGGATGGGGCAGAGCTCCTACGGCCAGGCCTCGTCCTACCCGGGTACTCCCAACCTCCTGCTGCCTCCTCGGCCTCTGGAAGGTGATTTGGGGGAATTGGGGGGTTTTGGGGGTGTTTAGGAGGTGTTTTGGGGCTGTGGGATGGGGCAGAGCTCCTACGGCCAGGCCTCGTCCTACCCGGGGTACTCCCAACCTCCTGCTGCCTCCTCGGCCTCTGGAAGGTGTTTTGGGGGGATTTTGGGGAGATTTTGGGGGGGTTGTGAGGTTTTAGGGGGATTCTGAAGGGGTTTGAGGGGTTATAGGGTTGTTTCGGGGCTGTGGGACAAGGCAGAGCTCCCATGGCCATGCCTTGTCCTACCTCGGTATTCCCACCCTCCTCAGCCTCCAGAAGGTGGGATTGTTGCGCTTTCTGTGCTAATTATCCACTAATTAACAACATTTACGGCTTTTAACCGATAACTGAGGGATTTTGGGGGCGAAAGGGATGTTTTTGGTGCTGATCTCGGGGTTTTTTTCCCCAGCTATGGCAGCAGCTCCGGGAGCTCGAGCTACGGGCAGCCCCCGAGCGGGGGGTACAGCCAACAGCAGAGCTACAGCGGGGGCCAGCAGAGCTACAGCCAACAGTCGTCCTACAACCCCCCTCCCAGCTACAGCCAGCAGGGCCAGTACAGCTCCGGGGCCTGTGAGTGATTCTGGGGTCGTTTTGGGGGATTTGGGGTCATTTTGGGGGATTTGAGGTCATTCTGGGGGGTTTGGGGTTTGAAAGAGGGGGTACAGTCGACAGGAACAGTCGTCCTACAACCCCCCTCCCAGCTCCAGCCAGCAGGGCCAGTACAGCCCTGGGGCCTGTGAGTGATTCTGGGGGGATTTGGGATCATTTCAGGGGATTTGGGGTCATTTTGGGGGATTTGGGGTCATTTTGGGGGATTTGGGGTCATTTTGTGGGGTTTGGGGTCTGTAACATAGAAGGAACAGTCGACAGGAACAGTCGTCCTACAGCCCCCCTCCCAGCTACAGCCAGCAGGGCCAGCACAGCTCTGGGGGGGTGGGAGTGATTTTGGGGTGAAATCAGGCAGTTTAGGGACACAATTGGCCGAGTTCAATGCCCCACTTTGGGCTGAAATCCCCCTGATTTGGGTGCAAACTGCTGAATTTTGGGTTCTGAGCCGTCTCTCCCTCCCGCAGCCGACTCGGACGGGCAGGAGCAGCCGGTGCTGACTGCGGGTTTGGGGTGAAATCAGGCAGTTTAAGGACAGAGTTGGCTGCGTTCAGTGCCCTGATTTGGGTGAAATCTGTTGAATTTTGGGTTCTAACCCATTTTTTTCCCCACAGCTAACTCGTATGGGCAGGACCCCCCCTCCATGAGCTCGGGGGGGTCCCAGGAGCCGGGGGGGCTGCGGTTGCTGGGTGGGTTTGGGGTGAAATCAGGCAGTTTAAGGACAGAGTTGGCTGGGCTCGGTGCCCCGATTTGGGTGAAAATCCCCCAATTTTGGGTTTCTAACCCATTTTTTTTCCCCACAGCCAATTCCTATGGGCAGGACCCCCCGTCCATGAGCTCGAGGGTCCCAGGAGCCGAGGGAGCTGCGGTTGCTGGGTGGGTTTGGGGTGAAATCAGGCAGTTTAAGGACAGAGTTGGCTGGGCTCGGTGCCCCGATTTGGGTGAAAATCCCCCAATTTCGGGTTCTAACCCATTTTTTTTCCCCACAGCCAATTCCTATGGGCAGGACCCTCCCTCCATGAGCTCGGGGGGGTCCCAGGAGCCGGGGGGGCTGCGGTTGCTGGGTGGGTTTGGGGTGAAATCAGGCAGTTTAAGGACAGAGTTGGTTGCGTTCAGTGCCCCGATTTGGGTGAAATCTGTTGAATTTTGGGGTTCTAACCCATTTTTCTCCCCCACAGCCAATTCCTATGGGCAGGACCCCCCGTCCATGAGCTCTGGGGGGGTACCAGGAGCCGGGGGGGCTGCGGTTGCTGGGTGGGTTTGGGGTGAAATGAGGCAGTTTAAGGGCAGAGTTGGCCGTGTTCAGTGCCCTGATTTGGGTGAAAATCCCCCAATTTTGGGTTCTAACCCATTTTTTTCCCCACAGCCAATTCCTATGGGCAGGACCCCCCGTCCATGAGCTCTGGGGGGGTACCAGGAGCCGGGGGGGCTGCGGTTGCTGGGTGGGTTTGGGGTGAAATCAGGCAGTTTAAGGACAGATTTGGCTGCGTTCAGTGCCCCGATTTGGGTGAAAATCCCCCAATTTTGGGTTCTAACAGGTTTCTCTCCCCCACAGCCAATTCCTATGGGCAGGACCCCCCGTCCATGAGCTCGGGGGGGTCCCAGGAGCCGGGGGGGCTGCGGTTGCTGGGTGGGTTTGGGGTGAAATGAGGCAGTTTAAGGACAGAGTTGGCCGTGTTCAGTGCCCCGATTTGGGTGAAAATCCCCCAATTTTGGGTTCTAACCCATTTTTTTTCCCCACAGCCAATTCCTATGGGCAGGACCCCCCCGTCCATGAGCTCGGGGGGGTACCAGGAGCCGGGGGGGCTGCGGTTGCTGGGCGGGTTTGGGGTGAAATCAGGCAGTTTAAGGACAGAGTTGGTTGCGTTCAGTGCCCCGATTTGGGTGAAATCTGTTGAATTTTGGGTTTCTAACAGATTTTTGTTCCCCACAACCAATTCCTATGGGCAGGACCCCCCTCCATGAGCTCGGGGGGGTCCCAGGAGCCGGGGGGGCTGCGGTTGCTGGGCGGGTTTGGGGTGAAATCAGGCAGTTTAAGGACAGAGTTGGTTGCGTTCCGTGCCCCGATTTGGGTGAAATGTGTTGAATTTTGGGTTTCTAACCCATTTTTTTTTTCCACAGCCAATTCCTATGGGCAGGACCCCCCGTCCATGAGCTCGGGGGGGTCCCAGGAGCCGGGGGGGCTGCGGTTGCTGGGTGGGTTTGGGGTGAAATCAGGGGGTTTGGTGACACAATTGACCATGTTCAGTGCCCTGATTTGGGTGAAAATCCCCCAATTTTGGGTTTCTAACCCATTTTTTTTCCCCACAGCCAATTCCTATGGGCAGGACCCCCCGTCCATGAGCTCTGGGGGGTACCAGGAGCCGGGGGGCTACGGCCCCGGGGCGCAGCCCGAGCGCAGCGGCCGCGGCAGGGGCGGATACGGCCGGGGGGGCGGCTACGACCGCGGGGGCCGCGGGAGCCGCGGGGGCCGCGGAGCCAACATGGGGTAGGTACCGGGACCCCCCACCCAAAAACGGGCGGGGGGGACCCCAAAATTACCCCGGGGCGGGGGAGGGGGGGGCTGAGAGTGAAACCCCCCCGAAAAAACGGGGTGAAAAGAGCCCCAAATTGGGGTCGGGGGTGAGGAGATGGGCGGGGTGAGGAGGAAAAAGGGGTTGAGGGGGAAGGAAAAGGAGGTTTTTTGGGGAAAAAAGGAGTTTTTTTGGGGAAAAAAGGAGTTTCTTGGGGAAAAAAGGAGTTTTTTGGGGGAAAAATGAAACCCCCAAGGTGGGGTTTGGAAGAGGAAGGTTTGAAGAAAAATGGAGTTTTTTTGGGATAAAAATGTGGGGTTTAGGTAAAAAAAAGGTTTGGGTGAAGGAAAAAATGAAGTGGTTTTTGGGTAAAAATGTGGGGTTTAGGTTAAAAAAAAGGGGTGAGGGGAAAAATGAAGTGGTTTTTGGGTAAAAATGTGGGGTTTAGGTAAAAAAAAAAGGGTTTGGGTGAAGGAAAAAATGAAGTGGTTTTTGGGTAAAAAAAGTGGTTTTTGGGTAAAAGGAAAAAGAACTTGGGTTAAAAAAAAAAATCAAAAAAATAACCCGAAGGTGGTTTTAGGGTAAAAAGAAAAGGGTTTTGGATGAGGAAAAAGATAAAGAGGTTTTTGGACAAAAAGAGGTTTTTAGGTTAAAAAAATGTAGGGTTTGGGTAAAGGGAAAAAAAAAATATTTTTGAGTGAAAAGAAATGTTTTTTGGGGAAAGGAAATGGTTTTGACCTAAAAAAATACGAGGTGGTTTTTGAGTAAAAAAAAAGATTTTTGGGTAAGGAAAATGGGTTTTGGGTAAGAGTGATTTTTGGGTAAAGAAAAATGGTTTTTAGGTAAAAAAAAGGATGGTTTTTGGGTAAAGAAAGTGGTGTTTAGATAAAAAAACCAACTGGTTTTTGGGTAAAACGAAGGTGAATTATGGGTAAAAAATGGTTTTTAGGTAAAAAAATCGGGTGTTTTTTGAGTAAAGGAAAATGGTTTTTAAGTAAAAAGGTGGTTTCTGGGTTAAAAAGAACATTTCGAGTAAAAAGTTGTTTCGGTTTAAAAAATAAGTGGGTTTTGGGTAAAGAAAAAAGTAGAACAAAGTGATGATTTTGGGGTAAAAACTGGTTTTTAGGTAAAAGAACACGGTGGCTATGAGGTAAAAAAAAGGTGGTTTATGGGTGAAAAAAACCATGATTTTTAGGTTAAAAAATGGTTTTGGGTTAAAAAAAAAAGTATTTGGGTTAAAAATAAAAAGAAATGGTATTTGGGTGAAAAAAGGAACACCCTGATTTTTAGGTAAAAAAAAAAAAGGTATTTGGTTAAAAAAAAGGTGATTTTAGGTAAAAAAAAAAAAGCAGAAACGATTCAGTGATTGAAGGGATAAAATGATTGAAAGTAGATGATGGAAAATAAAGGTTATGAAGGAGTAAACGAAGGATTAAAGAGGATTAAAGTGATTTTTAAAGGGTTTAAAAAAGAAGGTGCAGCCTCTGGTCCCGGCCTTGAATGGAAAATAAAAAAAGGCAAAAAAAAAATCCCCCAAAAATGAGGGGAAAAAAGGTGCTTTTTGAGGTCACTGCAGAAAGAAAAAAAAAAACCCCCCTGAATAAAAAAAAATTGGGTTCGGTCGTTTTTGGGGGAAAAAAGCGCCGGTTTGGGCAACTTTTGAGTCGCTGGAGAAACAAAAATGGTCGAGAAGGTCCCGAGAAAGGGCCTTGAAAATGAGGTTAAAAATGGTTTATTGGTTAAAAAAAAAAGCGAAATGTCGGTTTGGGGTTGTGTTTGTGCCTCCCCCCCCCCGAGAGGTTGGAATTTTGGGGGGAAAAAGCGGCTTTTTGGGGTCACTGGGAAGGTGAGTATTGGAGGGAGGGGGAGGGGAGGGGGCGGTGATGGAAATTTTGGGGGGGTTTTGTTTTGTGCTTTTTTAACGAACTCTGCCTTTTGTGCTGCAGGTGTTGACCCAAAAAAAAAACCCAAAAAAACCCCAAAACAAACAAAAAAAAAGATTTTGGCGAACCCGCCGCTCTTTTTTGGGTTAAAAAAAGGCAGAAAAAGGGGTGGAAAAACACCCAAAAGTGGCAAAAAAAAAAAAAAAAAAAGGACAAAAAAAAAAAGCTGGAGGAACAGGAGGGGGGGGAGGGGCAGCTCAGAGCGACATCACCCCCCCCCAAAAAATAAAAACAAACCCAAAATTAAAGTTTTTTAGCGGATTTTGAGCCCCCCCCTCTTCCTGCCGGAGTCGAGAGGAAAACGTCGCCGTCGGATCACGACCCCAAACCCCTCCCCCCCCAAAAAAAACACCCTCGAGGAGGAGGAAAAAATTCTCCAAAACTTGAATTTTTATTTTTTTTTTTTTTTAGCCCAAAATGGTGATTTTTTTGTGTGTGTTCCCTTCCTTTTTTTTTTTTTTTAATTTTTTTTTTAATTTTTTTCCCAAACTCTCAAGCTTTTTTTTAGGCAGGGGCTCCAAAAAAAAAAAAAAAAAAAAAACCTGATTTATCTTCTAATTTATCTCCTCAGCGGTGGTGAGCGTGGTGGCTTCAATAAATTCGGTGGTAAGTCCCAAGAGTTCAGCAAAAAACACCAAAAAAATGAAAAAAAAAACATTAAAAAGAGCCAGGAAATGCTGTGTTTTTAACCAGTTTTTCTTTGCAACAGCCTCGGGCCGGGAGCGCTTCTAGTTTGGTTGTTTTTTGGGGTGAAAAACCCTCAAAACGGAGCTGGAGCGGAACGGTGGTTTTTGTTATTTTGGTTGGTGTTTGTGAGGGGTTAAAAAAAATATAGGGAAAATACAAAAAAAAAAAAAAACTAAAAAAAAAAAAGGAGGTAAAATTCAAGTTTAAGAAAAAAAAAAATTAATAATCAGAAGTTGGAATGGTTTGGTGAAAAAAAAAAAAGTGGTTTTTAGGGCGGGTGAATGGAAAAAAAAAAAAAGGTGGTTTTTGGTTTAAAAAAATGACATTAAAAAAAAAAAACCTGCATGTGGTGGAAAAATCGAAAAAGAAAAGGTTTTGGTGCTAAAAAAAACGGTTTTTTTGGGGGATAAAATGAAAAAACAAAACCCCCAGGATGAAGTTTTGGGGTTGTTTGTGGTGCCGGTGACCTTGAGGAGGCGAAAAACGGTGAAATTCGGGCGGTTTTGACCCAAAAAACGGTGAAATTCGGGCGGTTTTGACTTTAAAATGGTGAATTTAGGGCGGTTTTGACCTGAAAATGGTGAATTTAGGGCGGTTTTGACCTGAAAATGGTGAATTTGGGGCGGTTTTGGCCCAAAAAGGGGGGCACCCAGGAGGTGTTGGCGCTGCAGTGGACCCGAAGCACCCGGGAGTGGTGGTTTTTGATGGGTTTTTTTCCCAAATCCCAGAGGTTTCAGCCTGTTTTTTTTTTTGGTAGAGGAGAAGTCGCTGGTGATGGTTTAAAAAAAAGGGAAAAAAAATAAAAATGTGGTTGAAAGGAATTTGAGGAGAAAAAGGGTGAAAAAAGGGGGCTGGAGGAGCCGCGGCCCCCTCAGGTTTTTTGGGGGATGGGAATTTCTGGATCCTCCTGAGGGGGGAAAAATGGAAAAAGAGCTTAAAAAAATGAGTGGTTTTGGGCAAAACGAGGGGTTTGAGCCCAAAATGCAAGGTTGGACCCCAAAGGAAGGGGTTTGAGCCCAAAAAAAGGGGTTTTGAGGCCAAAATGGAGGGGTTTGACCCCAAATTGGAGGGGTTTGACCCCAAAATGGAGGGGTTTGAGCCCAAAAATGAGGGGCTTTGACCCCCAAAGAAAAAGGGGGGGGTGTTGACCCCAAAATGTGGTGTTTTAACCCCAAATTTTGGGGTTCTGACTTCAAAATAGGGGGGGTTGATCCCAAAAACTGGGGGTTGTGACCCCAAAAATGAGGGGGGTTGGTCCAGAGCTGGGGTGGTTTGACCCCAAAATAAGAGGTTTGACCCCAAAATACGAGGCTTTGACCCTAAAATAAAGGGGGTTGACCCCAAAATGGGGCATTTTGACCCCAAAATATGAGGTTTTGACCCTAAAATACAAGGTTTGACCCCAAAATAAGGGGTTTTGACCCCAAAATAAGAGGTTTTGACCCTAAAATAAAGGGGTTTTGACCCCAAAATATGAGGTTTTGACCCTAAAATAAAGGAGTTTTGACCCCAAAATAAGAGGTTTTGACCCTAAAATACGAGGTTTGAGCCCAAAATACGAGGCTTTGACCCTAAAATAAAGGGGGTTGACCCCAAAATGGGGCATTTTGACCCCAAAATACGAGGTTTGACCCCAAAATATGAGGCTTTGACCCTAAAATACAAGGTTTGACCCCAAAATGAAGGGGTTTTGACCCCAAAATGGGGTGGTTTGACCCCAAAATGGAGGGTTCTGACCCCAAAACGGGGCTGGGGAAGGAGGGGGAGGGGTGGAACAAAAAAAAAAAAAGGTGTTTTCTGCCCAATTTGTCCCAATCTGGGTGGGGTCGATTGTGGGTGGGGTTTGTGTTGACCACGCCCCTTTCTGCCCCCTCATTAACATAATTAATTGTTTTTGCATGTGCTGAAAGGCCCCCGGGACCAGGGACCTCGGCACGACCCCGGTAATTAAGGGGGTAATTAGGGGCTAATTAAGGGGGTATGAGTGATTAATTAGGGGTTAATTAGAGGCAATTAAGAGAAGGGGTTATTGGGGGTTGATTAGGGCTTAATTGGGCTCGTGGGATTAATGAGGTTAATTAAAGATTTGTGGGTTAATTAAGGAGTTAAGGGGAATGTGGAGGTTAATTTTGAGTTAATTGGGATGATGATTTTGTGTTAAGAGATTAAAGATTTATTGGGTTATTAAAAAAAACTTATAAAAAAGTTATTGGTTAAGTTAATAACTTAGTTTTAATTAAGAGGTTAATAAGGATTAATTGGGTTAATTAGGCTGATAACTTAGTGCTTATTAAGGGATTAATAAGATTTTATTGGGTTATAAAATTTTATTGGCTAATTGGGTTAATAGCTTAATGTTAATTAATGGCTTAATGAGGATTAATTGGGCTGATAATTTGGTGTTAATTAAGAAGTTAATCAGGATTAATTGAACTGATTAATCGGTGTAAATTAAGGATTTATTAAGGGATTATTGGGGTGATAATTTAGTGTTAATTAAGGGGTTGTTAAGGATTAATTGGGCTGATAATTTAGTGTCAAGGGATTAGTGTGGATTAATTGAGCTGGAAATTTGGAGTTCATTTAAGGGTTATTAAGGATTAAGTGGGCTGATAACTCAGTGTTAATTATGAGGTTAATATGGATTAGTTGGCCTAATAATTTAGTATCAGTTAAAGGATTAATACAAATTAATTAATGAAGAGGAGGATTAAGTAGGGAAGTAATTAAACAAATTAACGATTAGAATAATGGGAGTAAATAAGGTGACGAGGGTGAGTAATTAAGGCTAAATAATTGGCATGAGAAAGGGGAGGGGTTGTGATGGGGTTGTACCCTTTGAGGGGGGGTTAATGATTTTAATTAATTAGTTAATCAGCATTGATTGATTAACCAGCATTAGTTAATTAGCGTTAATGAAGGTAATGTCCCCCCCGTCCAGGCGAGCAGGACAACTCGGACAACAACACGATCTTCGTGCAGGGGCTGGGCGAGAACGTCACCATCGAGTCCGTGGCTGATTACTTCAAACAGATCGGCATCATCAAGGTGCCCACGCGTGTGCTTGGCGTGTTCTGAGCCCTGGGGGGGTCACTGGGTGTGCTTGGCGTGTTCTGAGCCCTGGGGGGGTCACTGGGTGTGCTTGGTGTGTCATCACCTGTGCTTGGCGTGTTCTGAGCCCTGGGGGGGTCACTGGGTGTGACTGATGTGTCATCACCTGTCCTTGGTGTGTTCTCACCTGTCCTTGGTGTGTCATCACCTGTGCTTGGCGTGTTCTGAGCCCTGGGGGTGCCACTGTGTGTGCTTGGTGTGTTCTGAGCCCTGGGGGGGTCACTGGGTGTGCTTGGCGTGTTCTGAGCCCTGGGGGGGTGTCACTGTGTGTGCTTGGCGTGTTCTGAGCCCTGGGGGGGTCACTGTGTGTGCTTGGTGTGTCCTCACCTGTGCTTGGTGTGTCATCACCTATCCTTGGCGTGTTCTGAGCCCTGGGGGGGTCACTGTGTGTCCTTGGTGTGTCATCACCTGTGCTTGGCGTGTTCTGAGCCCTGGGGGTGTCACTGTGTGTGCTTGGTGTGTTCTCATCTGTCCTTGGTGTGTCATCACCTGTGCTTGGCGTGTTCTGAGCCCTGGGGGTGTCACTGTGTGTGCTTGGCGTGTTCTGAGCCCTGGGGGTGTCACTGGGTGTGCTTGGTGTGTCATCACCTGTGCTTGGTGTGTCATCACCTGTGCTTGGTGTGTTCTGAGCCCTGGGGGGGTCACTGTGTGTGCTTGGTGTGTTCTGAGCCCTGGGGGGGTCACTGTGTGTGCTTGATGTGACATCACCTGTGCTTGGCGTGATCTGAGCCCTGGGGGGGTCACTGTGTGTGATTGATGTGTCATCACCTGTGCTTGGTGTGTCATCACCTGTGCTTGGCGTGTTCTGAGCCCTGGGGGTGTCACTGGGTGTGCTTGGTGTGTCATCACCTGTGCTTGGTGTGTCATCACCTGTGCTTGGCGTGTTCTGAGCCCTGGGGGGGTCACTGTGTGTGACTGATGTGTCATCACCTGTGCTTGGCGTGATCTGAGCCCTGGGGGGGTCACTGTGTGTGATTGATGTGTCATCACCTGTGCTTGGCGTGTCATCACCTGTGCTTGGCGTGTTCTGAGCCCTGGGGGGGTCACTGGGTGTCCTTGGTGTGTCATCACCTGTCATTGATGTGTTCTGAGCCCTGGGGGGGGGTCATTGTGTGTGATTGATGTGACATCACCTGTGCTTGGCGTGTTCTGAGCCCTGGGGGTGTCACTGGGTGTGCTTGGTGTGTCATCACCTGTGCTTGGTGTGTCATCACCTGTGCTTGGCGTGTTCTGAGCCCTGGGGGGGTCACTGGGTGTGATTGATGTGTCATCACCTGTGCTTGGCGTGTTCTGAGCCCTGGGGGGGTCACTGGGTGTGATTGATGTGTCATCACCTGTGCTTGGCGTGTTCTGAGCCCTGGGGGTGTCACTGGGTGTGCTTGGTGTGTCATCACCTGTCCTTGGTGTGTCATCACCTGTGCTTGGCGTGTTCTGAGCCCTGGGGGGGTCACTGTGTGTGCTTGGTGTGTCATCACCTGTGCTTGGTGTGTTCTCACCTGTGCTTGGTGTGTTCTCACCTGTGCTTGGTGTGTTCTCATCACCTGTGCTTGGTGTGTCATCACCTGTGCTTGGCGTGTTCTGAGCCCTGGGGGGGTCACTGGGTGTGCTTGGTGTGTCATCACCTGTGCTTGGCGTGTTCTGAGCCCTGGGGGTGTCACTGGGTGTGCTTGGTGTGTCATCACCTGTGCTTGGTGTGTCATCACCTGTGCTTGGCGTGTTCTGAGCCCTGGGGGGGTCACTGTGTGTGACTGATGTGTCATCACCTGTGCTTGGTGTGTTCTGAGCCCTGGGGGTGTCACTGTGTGTGACTGATGTGTCATCACCTGTGCTTGGCGTGTTCTGAGCCCTGGGGGGGTCACTGTGTGTGCTTGGTGTGTCATCACCTGTGCTTGGCGTGTTCTGAGCCCTGGGGGGGTCACTGTGTGTGCTTGGTGTGTCATCACACATGTGCTTGGCGTGTTCTGAGCCCTGGGGTGGTCACTGTGTGTGCTTGGTGTCATCACCTGTGCTTGGTGTGTCATCACCTGTGCTTGGCGTGTTCTGAGCCCTGGGGTGTCACTGTCACTGTGCTTGATGACATCACCTGTGCTTGGTCGTGATTCTGAGCCCTGGGGGGTCACTGTGTGTGATTGATGTGTCATCACCTGTGCTTGGCGTGTTCTGAGCCCTGGGGGGTCACTGTGTGATTGATGTGCATCACCTGTGCTTGAGTGTCATCACCTGTGCTTGGCGTGTTCTGAGCCCTGGGGGGGTCACTGTGTGTCCTTGGTGTGTCATCACCTGTGCTTGGCGTGTTCTGAGCCCTGGGGGTCACTGTGTCCTTGGTGTGTCATCACCTGTCATTGATGTGTTCTGAGCCCTGGAGTCATGTGTTGATGTGTCATCACCTGTGCTTGGCGTGTTCTGAGCCCTGGGGTGTCACTGGGTTCTTGTGTCATCACCTGTGCTTGGTGTGTCATCACCTGTGCTTGGCGTGTTCTGAGCCCTGGGGGTCACTGGGTGTTTGTGTGTGCTTGATGTGACATCACCTGTGCTTACGTGATCTGGAGCCCCCTGGGGGTGTCACTGGGTGTGCTTGATGTGTCATCACCTGTGGCTCACGTGGTTCTTGAGCCCCTGGGGTGTCACTGGGTGATTGCTTGTGTCATCACCTGTCCTTGGTGTGTCATCACCTGTGCTTGGCGTGTTCTGAGCCCTGGGGGGGTCACTGTGTGTGCTTGGTGTGTCATCACCTGTGCTTGGTGTGTCATCACCTGTCCTTGGCGTGTTCTGAGCCCTGGGGGGGTCACTGGGTGTCCTTGGTGTGTCATCACCTGTCATTGATGTGTTCTGAGCCCTGGGGGGGGGTCATTGTGTGTGATTGATGTGACATCACCTGTGCTTGGCGTGTTCTGAGCCCTGGGGGTGTCACTGTGTGTGCTTGGTGTGTTCTCATCTGTCCTTGGTGTGTCATCACCTGTGCTTGGCGTGTTCTGAGCCCTGGGGGGGTCACTGTGTGTGATTGATGTGTCATCACCTGTGCTTGGCGTGTTCTGAGCCCTGGGGGTGTCACTGGGTGTGCTTGGTGTGTCATCACCTGTGCTTGGCGTGTTCTGAGCCCTGGGGGTGTCACTGTGTGTGCTTGGTGTGTCATCACCTGTCCTTGGTGTGTCATCACCTGTGCTTGGTGTGTCATCACCTGTGCTTGGTGTGTCATCACCTGTCCTTGGTGTGTTCCTGTGGCCCTGGTGGTTTCTGAGTCCTTGGCGTGTCATCACGTGTGCTTGGTGTGTTCCTTGTGGCCTTGGTGTGTTCTGAGTCCTTGGGATGTCATCACATGTGCTTGGTGTGTCATCACCTGTCCTTGGCATGTTTGGAACCCTGGGGGGCTCACTGTGTGTGCTTGGTGTGTCATCACCTGTCCTTGGCGTGTTCTCACCTGTCCTTGGCGTGTTCTCACCTGTCCTTGGCGTGTTCTAACCTGTCCTTGGCGTGTTCCTGTGGCCCTGGTGGTTTCTGAGTCCTTGGCGTGTCATCACATGTGCTTACCATGTCATCACGTGTGCTTACCGTGTCATCACGTGTGCTTACCGTGTCATCACGTGTGCTTACCATGTCATCACGTGTGCTTACCGTGTCATCACGTGTGCTTACCATGTCATCACGTGTGCTTACCGTGTCATCACGTGTGCTTACCGTGTCATCACATGTGCTTACCATGTCATCACATGTGCTTTACATGTCATCACGTGTGCTTACCGTGTCATCACGTGTGCTTACCATGTCATCACGTGTGCTTACCGTGTCATCACGTGTGCTTACCGTGTCATCACGCAGCTTACCGTGTCATCACGCGTGCTTACCGTGCTCACGTGTCTATCACGCGTGCTTACCGTGTCATCACGTGCCGCACCGCTGTCATCACGCGTGCTTACTGCGGTCATCACGCGTGCCTACCGTGCACGCTCGCTCGCACGCCTCGTCCTCCTGGGCGCGTCACGTGTTGTTGACGTGTCATCACGTGTCCTTGACCCCCTCCCGTGTGTCCCTGCCCCCCCTGACCTTGGCATGACCCTGGCATGTCCTTGGCGTGTCCCTGGCGTGACCTTGGCGTGTTTTGCGTCGCAGACCAACAAGAAGACGGGGCAGCCGATGATCAACCTGTACACGGACCGCGAGACCGGCAAGCTCAAGGGCGAGGCCACCGTGTCCTTCGACGACCCGCCCTCGGCCAAGGCCGCCATCGACTGGTTCGACGGTGGGGAACCCAAAATCCGCCTTTTTGAACCCAAAATTCACCTTTTCCACCCCAAAAAACCCCTAAAACCGGCTTTGTTACCCAAAAAACCCCCAAAACCGCCCTCGGCCAAGGCCGCCATCGACTGGTTCGACGGTGGGGAACCCAAAATCCGCCTTTTTGAACCCAAAAATCGCCTTTTTGAACCCAAAAATCATTTTTTCTGCCCAAAAACCCCCCAAAACCGGCTTTGTTACCCAAAAAACCGCCCTCGGCCAAGGCCGCCATCGACTGGTTCGACGGTGGGGAACCCAAAATCCGCCTTTTTTAACCCAAAAATTGACTTCTGCACCCCAAAAACCCCTAAAACCGGCTTTGTTACCCAAAAAAACCCCAAAAACCGCCCTGGGCCAAGGCCGCCATCGACTGGTTTGATGGTGGGGAACCCAAAAATCACCTTTTGAACCCAAAATTGACTTCTTGCACCTCCAAAAACCCCCCAAAACCGGCTTTGTTACCCAAAAAACCGCCCTGGGCCAAGGCCGCCATCGACTGGTTTGATGGTGGGGAACCCAAAATCCGCCTTTTTGAACCCAAAATTCACCTTTTCCATCCCAAAAAACCCCCAAAACCACCCTAAGAAACCCCAAAAAACCCAAAAATTGGCTTTGTTACCCAAAAACCGCCCTCGGCCAAGGCCGCCATCGACTGGTTTGATGGTGGGGAACCCAAAATCCGCCTTTTTGAACCCAAAAATCGCCTTTTTCGCCCCCAAACCCCCCCAGAACCGCCTTTTTTAACCCCCAAAATCCTCTTTTCCACCTCCAAACCCCCTTTCCCCCTAAAAAAGCCCTTTTTCTCTAAAAACTCCCTTTTTCATTCCCCCAAAACCCTTTTCCTTCCCATTTCTCCCCCCAAAAACCCCTTTTTCCCCCCCAAACCCCTTTCAACCCCAAAACCCCCCTATTTTCCCTCAAAAAACCCCTCCTTTTTCCAACTCCCAAACCCCATTTATTCTCCCAAACCCTTTTCCTTCCATTTCCCCCAAAAAACATTTTCCCCCCAAAAACCCTTTTCCCCCAAAAACCCCATTTCCCCAAAATTACCCTTTTCCCCCAGAATTCCCATTTCCCCCAAAATTACCCTTTTCCCCCAAAATTCCCTTTCCCCCTAAAATTCTTTCCCCCCAAACTCCATTCCCAAAAACCCCATTTCCCAAAAACTTTTCCCTTCCAAAATTCCTTCCCCAAATTCCTTTTTCCCTCCCAGAAAACCTCCATTTCTCCCCCAAAACCCCATTTCCCCCAAACCCCTTTCAACCCCAAAACCCCTCTATTTTCCCTCAAAAAAACCCTCCTTTTTCCAACTCCCAAACCCCCGTTTATTTTCCCAAACCCTTTTCCTTCCATTTCCCCCAAAAAACATTTCCCCAAAAACCCATTTCCTCAAAAACCCCATTTCCCCAAAAATCTCCTTTTCCCCCAAAATTCCCCCAAAAATTTTCCCCCAAAATTCCCCTTATTTCCCCCAAAACCCCATTTCTCCCCAAAAACCCCTTTCCCCAAAAAACCCTTTCTCCCTCCAAAATTCCTCTTTCCCCAAAATCCCCTTTCCCCAAAATTCCTTTCCCCCAAAATTCCCCTTTTCCCCCAAAATCCTTCTTTCCCCAAAATCCCCTTTTCCCCCCAAAATCCCCTTTTCCCCCAAACTCCCTTTTTCCCCCAAAAAATTCCCTTGTTTCCCCCAAAATTCTCCTTTTCCCCCCAAAATTCCCCATTTTCCCCCAAAAATCTCCTTTTCCCCCCAAAATTCCCTTTTTCCCCAAAAACCCCTTTTCCCCCAAAAACCCCATTTCCCCCAAACCCCTTTCAACCCCAAAACCCCCTATTTTCCCTCAAAAACCCTCCTTTTTCCAACTCCCAAACCCCATTATTCTCCCAAACCCTTTCCTTCCCATTCCCAAAAACATTTTCCCCAAAACCCTTTTCCCCCAAAAACCCCATTTCCCCAAAATTACCTCTTTTCCCCCAGAATTCCATTTCCCCAAATTACCCTTTTCCCCCAAAATTCCCTTTTCCCCCAAAATTCCCCTTTTCCCCAAAACTCCTTCCCCAAAAACCCCATTTCCCAAAACTTTTTCCCCTTCCAAAATTCCCCTTCCCCCAAATTCCCTTTCCCCAGAAACCTCCATTTCTCCCCCAAAACCCCATTTCCCCAAACCCCTTTCCACCCCAAAACCCCTATTTCCCTCAAAACCCCCTTTTCCAACTCCCAAACCCCTGTTTATTCTCCCAAACCCTTTTTCCTTCCCATTTCCAAAAACATTTTCCCCAAAACCCTCTTTTCCCCCAAAAACCCCCATTTCCCCCCAAAATTACCCTTTCCCCAATTCCATTTCCCCCAAAATACCCTTTTCCCCCAAAATTCCCCTTTTCCCCCAAACCCCATTCTCCCCAAAACCCTTTCCCCCAAAAAACCCTTTCTCCTCCAAAATTCCCCTTTCCCCAAAATTCCCCTTTTCCCCCAAAATTCCCCTTTTCCCCCCAAAATTCCTTTTCCCCAAGATTCCTTTCCCCCAAAATTCCCCTTTCCCCAAAATTCCCTTTTCCCCCAAAATTCCCTTTTTCCCCCCAAAATTCTCCTTTTTCCCCAAATTCCCCTTTTCCCCCAAAATTCCTTTTCCCCCCAAAATTCCCTTTTCCCCAAAAACCTTTTCCCCCAAAACCCCATTTCCCCCAAACCCCTTTCAACCCCAAAACCCCTATTTTCCCTCAAAACCCCCTCCTTTTTCCAACTCCCAAACCCCCATTTATTCTCCCAAACCCTTTTCCTTCCCATTTCTCCCCTCAAAAAAAAAAACCATTTTCCCCAAAAAAAACCCCTTTCCCCCCCAAAAAACCCCTTTCCCCCAAAAAACCCTTCTCCTCCAAAATTCCTCTTTCCCCCAAAATTCCCTTTTCCCCTAAAATTCCCTTTTTCCCCAAAATTCCCTTTTCCCCCAAAATTCTCCTTTTTTCCCCAAAAAACCCTTTCTCCCCAAAATTCCCTTTCCCCTAAAATTCCCTTTTCCCCAAAATTCCCTTTTCCCCCAAAACCCCATTCCCCAAAAACCCCATTTCCCCAAAAACCCCATTTCCCCCAAAAACCCATTTTCCCCAAAAACTTTTTCCCCCTCCAAAATTTCCTTTTCCCCCAAAACCCCTTTTTCCCCACAACACCCCTTTTCCCCCCAAAAACCTTTTTCCTTCTCATTTCCCCGTTCTTTTCCAAAACCTTTTTTTTTCTTCCCTTACCCCCCTTTTTCCCCCACAAAAAAAAAACCTTTTCCTCCAAAACTTCTCATTCCCCCCCCCAAAAAAAACCCCTTTTTCCTTTCCCAACCTTTCCCCCCCCAAAAAACCCCTTTTTCTTTTCCCAACCTTCCTTCCCCAAAAACCCTTTTCTTTTCCAACCTTTCCTTCCCCAAAAACCCTTTCTTTTCCCAACCTTTCCTTCCCCAAAAAACCCTTTTCCTTCCCAACCTTTCCCCCAAAACCCTTTTTCCTTTCCTCACCTCTCTACCAAAAAAACCCTTTTCTTTTCCCAGCCTTTCTCTCCCCAAAAACCCCTTTTTCTTTTCCCAACCTTTCCCCAAAAAACCCCACCTGTTCCCCCCAAAAACCCTTTCTTCAACCTTTCTCTCCCAAAAACCCTTTTCCTTTCCCATTTCCCCCAAAAACCCTTTTTCTTTTCCCAACCTTCCCCTTCCCCAAAAAAAAACCCCTTTTTTTCCCCTCTAAAAAACCCCAATTACCCCCCCAAAAACCCCCCTTCCCCCTTTCCCAATTTTGGGTTAAATTCTGCTTAATTTGGGTGTTTTTTATATCCAGGCAAGGAGTTTTCGGGGAACCCCATCAAGGTTTCGTTCCCCCAAAAAACCTCCTTTTCCCCCAAAAAAATTTCCTTCCCATTTCCCCCCCAAAAAAACCCGCCTTGTCCCTCCCACCCTGCTATTTCCCCCAAAAAAACCTCTTTTTCCCTCAAAAAAGGTTCCTTTTCTTTCCCATTCCCCTCCCCAAAAAACCCTTTTCCCCCCACAAAAAAACCTTTTCCTCCAAAATTCCCTTTTCCCCCAAAAACCCTTTTCCCCAAAATTCCCTTTCCCAAAAACCCTTTTCCCCCAAAATTCCTTTTTCCCCCTAAAATTCCCTTTTCCCCCAAAACCCTTTCCCCCAAAATTCCTTTTCCCCTAAATTCCCTTTCCCAAAAACCCTTTCTCCCCAAACCCCTTTCAACCCCAAAACCCCTATTTTCCCTCAAAACCCCTCCTTTTTCCAACTCCCAAACCCCTGTTTATTTTCCCAAACCCTTTTCCTTCCCATTTCCCCAAAAACCCCTTTTCCCCCTCCAACCCCTCTTTTCCACCCCCACCCCCTTTTCTGCCCCAATCCCTCCTTTTCCACCCCAAAACCCCCTTTTTTCCCCACAACACCCCTTTTTCCCCCAAAAAAACCCTCTTCCCCCACAACTTCCCTTTTCCTTCCCATTTCCCTCCAAAAACCTCCTTTTCCCCCCCAAAAAAATTTCCTTCCCATTTCCCCCCAAAAAAAACCCCCTTGTCCCTCCCACCCTGCTATTTCCCCCAAAAAAACCTCTTTTCCCCTCAAAAAAGGTTCCTTTCTTTTCCCATTCCCCCAAAAACCCTTTTCCCTCCAAAAACCCCTTTTCCCCCAAAACCCCATTTCCCCCAAAAACTCCATTTCCCCAAAAACCCTTTCCTCCCCCAAAAAATCCCTTTCCCCCAAAATCCCCTTTTCCTCCTCGTTTCCCCCAGAACCTCCCATTTCCTCCCCAATCTCCCTTTTTTCCACCCCCAACCTTTTCCCCTTCCCCTCTCCCAATTTTGGGTTAAATTCTGCTTAATTTGGGTGGTTTTTATATCCAGGCAAGGAGTTTTGTGGGAACCCCATCAAGGTGTCGTTCCCCCAAAAAACCTCCTTTTCCCCCAAAAATTTCCTTCCCATTTCCCCCAAAACCCCCTTACCCCTCCCACCCCGCTATTTTCCAAAAAAAAGCTCTTTTTCCCCCAAAAAAAGTTCCTTTTCTTTCCCATTGCCCTCAAAAACCCTTTTCCCCCAAAATTCCCTTTTCCCCCAAAAATCCTCCTTTTCCTCTTCATTTCCCCAGAACCTCCCATTTCCTCCCCCAATCTCCTTTTTTTCCACCCTCAACCTTCTTCCCTTTTCCCCATTTTCCCTCTCCCAATTTTGGGTTAAATTCTGCTTAATTTGGGTGGTTTTTATATCCAGGGAAGGAGTTTTCGGGAACCCCATCAGGTGTCGTTCCCCAAAAACCTCCTTTTCCCCAAAAATTTCCTTCCCATTTCCCCCAAAACCCCCTTACCCTCCCACCCCGCTATTTTTCAAAAAAGCTCTTTTCCCCCAAAAAAGTTCCTTTTCTTTCCCATTCCCCCCAAAATTCCCCTTTCCCCCAAAAAATTCCCTTTTCCTCCCAAAAAAATTCCCTTTCCCCCAAAATCCCCTTTTCCTCCTCGTTTCCCCCCCAAAACCTCCCATTTCCTCCCCCAATCTCCCTTTTTTTCCACCCCCAACCTTTTTCCCCTTTTCCCCCCATTTTCCCCTCTCCCAATTTTGGGTTAAATTCTGCTTAATTTGGGTGTTTTTCATCTCCAGGGAAGGAGTTTTCGGGGAACCCCATCAAGGTTTCGTTCGCCACTCGCCGCGCCGACTTCACGCGGGGCGGGGGCGGCCGCGGGCGCGGCCGGGGGGGTGAGTGACCCCTCCCCCCTCAAAAAAAATCAACCTTTTGGCCCAAAATCGCTCTTTTTCACCCCAAAATTTGTGTTCTCCCCTCCCCCAGGGCCCATGGGACGAGGAGGATTCGGAGGAGGCAGCGGCGGCTCCGGAGGGGGAAGAGGGGGCTTCAACAGCGGGGGAGGGGGACAGCAAAGAGCCGGGGACTGGAAATGTCCCAACCCGTGAGTGATACTGGGGGAACTGGGAGGGACTGGGAGCACTGGGAGGGGATTGGGATGGGATTGGGATGGGATTGGAGGGGATTGGGAGCACTGGGAGGGACTGGGAGCACTGGGAGGGGGACAGCAAAGAGCAGGAGACTGGAAATGTCCCAACCCGTGAGTGAAACTGGGGGAACTGGGAGGGACTGGGAGGGACTGGGAGGGACTGGGAGCACTGGGAGGCACTGGGAGCACTGGGAGGGACTGGGATGGGATTGGGATGGGATTGGAGGGGATTGGGAGCACTGGGAGGGACTGGGAGCACTGGGAGGGGGACAGCAAAGAGCAGGAGACTGGAAATGTCCCAACCCGTGAGTGAAACTGGGGGAACTGGGAGGGACTGGGAGCGACTGGGAGGGACTGGGAGCACTGGGAGGCACTGGGAGCACTGGGAGGGGGACAGCAAAGAGCCGGGGACTGGAAATGTCCCAACCCGTGAGTGAAACTGGGAGCACTGGGAGGGACTGGGAGCACTGGGAGGGACTGGGAGCACTGGGAGGGGGACAGCAACGAGCAGGAGACTGGAAATGTCCCAACCCGTGAGTGAAACTGGGGGAACTGGGAGCACTGGGAGGGACTGGGAGGGACTGGGAGCACTGGGAGGGACTGGGAGCACTGGGAGGGGACAGCAAGAGCGGGAGACTGGAAATGTCCCAACCCGTGAGTGAAACTGGGGAACTGGGAGCACTGGGAGGGACTGGGAGCACTGGGAGGGGGACAGCAACGAGCAGGAGACTGGAAATGTCCCAGCCCGTGAGTGAAACTGGGGGAACTGGGAGGGACTGGGAGCACTGGGAGGGACTGGGAGCACTGGGAGGGACAGCAGCGAGCAGGAGACTGGAAATGTCCCAACCCGTGAGTGACACTGGGGGAACTGGGAGGGACTGGGAGGGGATTGGGATGGGATTGGGATGGGATTGGAGGGGATTGGGAGCACTGGGAGGGACTGGGAGGGACTGGGAGCACTGGGAGGGGACAGCAGCGAGCAGGAGACTGGAAGTGTCCCAGCCCGTGAGTGAGACTGGGAGCACTGGGAGGGACTGGGAGGGGATTGGTGGGCACTGGGATGGGATTGGAGGGGATTGGGAGCACTGGAAGGGACTGGGAGGGACTGGGAGCACTGGGAGGGACTGGGAGCACTGGGAGGGACTGGGAGCACTGGGAGGGGGACAGCAACGAGCAGGAGACTGGAATGTCCCAGACCCGTGAGTGACACTGGGAGCACTGGGAGGCACTGGGAGCACTGGGAGGGGACAGCAAGGAGCGGGAGACTGGAAATGTCCCAACCCGTGAGTGACACTGGGGGAACTGGGAGGGACTGGGAGGGACTGGGAGCACTGGGAGGGACTGGGAGCACTGGGAGGGGGACAGCAAAGAGCTGGAGACTGGAAATGTCCCAACCCGTGAGTGAAACTGGGAGCACTGGGAGGGACTGGGAGCACTGGGAGGGGGACAGCAACGAGCAGGGGACTGGAAATGTCCCAGCCCGTGAGTGAAACTGGGGGAACTGGGAGGGACTGGGAGCACTGGAAGGGACTGGGAGCACTGGGAGGGGACAGCAAGAGCAGGAGACTGGAAATGTCCCAACCCGTGAGTGAAACTGGGGGAACTGGGAGCACTGGGAGGGACTGGGAGCACTGGGAGGGGGACAGCAACGAGCAGGAGACTGGAAATGTCCCAACCCGTGAGTGAAACTGGGGGAACTGGGAGGGACTGGGAGCACTGGGAGGGACTGGGAGCACTGGGAGGGGGACAGCAACGAGCAGGAGACTGGAAATGTCCCAACCCGTGAGTGACACTGGGAGCACTGGGAGGGACTGGGAGCACTGGGAGGGGGACAGCAACGAGCAGGAGACTGGAAATGTCCCAACCCGTGAGTGATACTGGGGGAACTGGGAGGGACTGGGAGCACTGGGAGGGACTGGGAGCACTGGGAGGGGGACAGCAAAGAGCAGGAGACTGGAAATGTCCCAACCCGTGAGTGAAACTGGGGGAACTGGGAGGGACTGGGAGCACTGGGAGGGGGACAGCAAAGAGCGGGAGACTGGAAATGTCCCAACCCGTGAGTGACACTGGGGGAACTGGGAGGGACTGGGAGCACTGGGAGGGACAGCAACGAGCAGGAGACTGGAAATGTCCCAACCCGTGAGTGACACTGGGGGAACTGGGAGGGACTGGGAGGGGATTGGGATGGGATTGGGATGGGATTGGAGGGGATTGGGAGCACTGGGAGGGACTGGGAGCACTGGGAGGGGGACAGCAACGAGCAGGAGACTGGAAGTGTCCCAACCCGTGAGTGAAACTGGGAGCACTGGGAGGGACTGGGAGGGGATTGGTGGGCACTGGGATGGGATTGGAGGGGATTGGGAGCACTGGAAGGGACTGGGAGCACTGGGAGGGACTGGGAGCACTGGGAGGGGGACAGCAACGAGCCGGGGACTGGAAATGTCCCAACCCGTGAGTGAAACTGGGGGAACTGGGAGGGACTGGGAGCACTGGGAGGGACTGGGAGCACTGGGAGGGGGACAGCAACGAGCAGGAGACTGGAAATGTCCCAGCCCGTGAGTGAAACTGGGGAACTGGGAGGGACTGGGAGCACTGGGAGGGGACAGCAAAGAGCAGGGGACTGGAAATGTCCCAACCCGTGAGTGATACTGGGGGAACTGGGAGGGACTGGGAGCACTGGGAGGGGGACAGCAAAGAGCAGGGGACTGGAAATGTCCCAACCCGTGAGTGAAACTGGGGGAACTGGGAGGGACTGGGAGGGGATTGGGATGGGATTGGGATGGGATTGGAGGGGATTGGGAGCACTGGGAGGGACTGGGAGGGACTGGAGGGACTGGGAGCACTGGGAGGGGGACAGCAACGAGCAGGAGACTGGAAATGTCCCAACCCGTGAGTGCAACTGGGGGAACTGGGAGCACTGGGAGGGACTGGGAGGGACTGGGAGCACTGGGAGGGGATTGGGATGGGATTGGGATGGGATTGGAGGGGATTGGGAACACTGGAGGGACTGGGAGCACTGGGAGGGACTGGGAGCACTGGGAGGGGGACAGCAACGAGCCGGGGACTGGAAATGTCCCAACCCGTGAGTGAAACTGGGGGAACTGGGAGGGACTGGGAGCACTGGGAGGGACTGGGAGCACTGGGAGGGGGACAGCAAAGAGCGGGAGACTGGAAATGTCCCAACCCGTGAGTGAAACTGGGGGAACTGGGAGGGACTGGGAGCACTGGGAGGGGATTGGGATGGGATTGGGATGGGATTGGAGGGGATTGGGAGCACTGGGAGGGACTGGGAGCACTGGGAGGGGGACAGCAACGAGCAGGAGACTGGAAATGTCCCAACCCGTGAGTGAAACTGGGAGCACTGGGAGGGGATTGGGGGGCACTGGGAGGGACTGGGATGGGATTGGAGGGGATTGGGAGCACTGGGAGGGACTGGGAGGGACTGGGAGCACTGGGAGGGGGACAGCAAAGAGCCGGGGACTGGAAATGTCCCAACCCGTGAGTGAAACTGGGGGAACTGGGAGGGACTGGGAGCACTGGGAGGGACTGGGAGCACTGGGAGGGGGACAGCAAAGAGCAGGAGACTGGAAATGTCCCAACCCGTGAGTGAAACTGGGGGAACTGGGAGGGACTGGGAGCACTGGGAGGGACTGGGAGCACTGGGAGGGGGACAGCAAAGAGCGGGAGACTGGAAATGTCCCAACCCGTGAGTGAAACTGGGGGAACTGGGAGGGACTGGGAGCACTGGGAGGGGATTGGGATGGGATTGGGAGGGGATTGGGAGCACTGGGAGGGACTGGGAGGGACTGGGAGCACTGGGAGGGGGACAGCAAAGAGCAGGAGACAGGAAATGTCCCAACCCGTGAGTACAACTGGGGGAACTGGGAGCACTGGGAGGGACTGGGAGCACTGGGAGGGGGACAGCAGAGAGCCGGGGACTGGAAATGTCCCAACCCGTGAGTGAAACTGGGGGAACTGGGAGGGACTGGGAGCACTGGGAGGGGGACAGCAAAGAGCAGGAGACTGGAAATGTCCCAACCCGTGAGTGACACTGGGGCACTGGGAGGGGATTGGGATGGGATTGGAGGGGATTGGGAGCACTGGGAGGGACTGGGAGGGACTGGGAGCACTGGGAGGGGGACAGCAACGAGCAGGAGACTGGAAGTGTCCCAACCCGTGAGTGAAACTGGGAGCACTGGGGGTCACTGGAATGGACTGGGGGTCACTGGGATGGACTGGGAATGGGACTGGGGGTCACTGGGAAGGGACTGGGAGTCACTGGGAAGGGACTCAGGTTCACTGGGATGGACTGGGAGTGGAACTGAGGTTCACTGGGATGGACTGGGGGTCACTGGGATGGACTGGGAGTGGTCTGGGGGTCACTGGGAAGGGACTGGGGGTCACTGGGAGGGACTGGAGGTCACTGGGACAGACTGGGAGTGGGAGTGGGGGTCACTGGGATGGGACTGGGGGTCACTGGGATGGACTGGGAATGGGACTGAGGTTCACTGGGATGGAGTGGGGGTCACTGGGATGGACTGGGAATGGGACTGAGGTTCACTGGGATGGACTGGGGGTCACTGGGGTGGACTGGGGGTCACTGGGATGGACTGGGAATGGGACTGGGGGTCACTGGGATGGACTGGGAATAGGGCTGGGGATTACTGGGAGTGGACTGGGAGCAGACTGGTGGTCACTGGGATGCAGTGGGAGCGTACTGGGGGTCACTGGGATAGACTGGGGGTCACTGGGATGGACTGGGGGTGTACTTCGGGTCACTGGGACAGACTGGGATGGACTGCGGGTCACTGGGATGGACTGGGAATGGGACTGGGGGTCACTGGGATGGACTGGGAATAGGGCTGGGGATTACTGGGAGTGGACTGGGAGCAGACTGGTGGTCACTGGGATGGAGTGGGAGCGTACTGGGGGTCACTGGGATAGATTGGGAGCGTACTGGGGGGTCACCGGGTGGCGCTGTTGGGTGTGTCCGTTTTGACGTCGCGATGACGTCACCGATGACGTCACAATGACGTCACCCCGCGCAGGGCGTGCGAGAACATGAACTTCTCGTGGCGCAACGAGTGCAACCAGTGCAAGGCCCCCAAGCCCGAGGGGCCCCCCGGAGCCCCCCACATGGGCGGGGGGGGAGGGGCAAAGTACCCCGGAGGAGGCGGCAGAGGCGGCGGCAACCACATGGGTAAGGGGGGCTACCAAAAATGGGGAGGGGGCTACTGAATTGGGGAGGGGCTACTGAATTGGGAGGGGGCTACTGAATTGGGGAGGGGCAACCACGGGGGTGGGGGCTACTGAATTGGGGAGGGGCTACTGAATTGGGGAGGGCTACCGAATTGGGGAGGGGCTACTGAATGAGGGGCAACCACATGGGTAAGGGGGCTACTGAATTGGGGAGGGGGCTACTGAATGGAGGGGGCAACCACAGGGGTAAGGGGCTACTGAATTGGGGAGGGGGCTACCTGAATTGGGGAGGGGGCTACTGAATTGGGGAGGGGGCTACTGAATGAGGGGGGCAACCACAGGGTAAGGGGCTACTGAATTGGGGAGGGGCTACTGAATGAGGGGGCAACCACAGGGGTAAGGAGGGCTACTGAAAATGGGGGCAACCACAGGGGGCAACCACAGGGGTAAGGAGGGCTGTCAAATGGGAGGGCTCCTGAATTGAGGGGGCAACCACAGGGAGTAAGGGGGCTCCCAAGGGTGGTGTCCCTCCTCCCAAACCCCTTTTTCCCCAATCTTTGACCCCTGTGTGCCCCAGGCGGGGCGGAGGCGAGTTGGCGACGAGCGGCGCAGGGGCCGCAGGGGCTCGACCGCGGCGGGTACCGGGAGGCGCGCGGCGGCGACCGAGGAGGATTCCGGGAGGCCGAGGGGGAGACCGGGGGCTTGGGCCCAGCAAGATGGACTCAGGTGGGAGTGCGGTTGGGAGGGTCCCAGGGGGTTTAGGGTGAAATTGGGGGTTTGGGATCAGCTTTGGGGTGAAATGGGGGTTTGGGGGTGAAATGGGGGTTTGGGCTCAACAAGATGGACTCCAGGTGGGAGTGCGGTTGGGAGGGGTCCCAGGGGGTTTGGGGGTGAAATGGGGGGTTGGGGTGAAATGGGGGCTTGGGCCCAGCAAGATGGACTCCAGGTGGGAGTGCGGTTGGGAGGGGTCCCAGGGGGTTTGGGGGTAAAATGGGGGTTTGGGGGTGAAATGGGGGCGTTTTGGGGTGAAATGGGGGTTTGGGGTGAAATGGGGGTTTGGGCCCAGCAAGATGGACTCCAGGTGGGAGTGCAGTTGGGAGGGGTCCCAGGGGGTTTGGGGTGAAATGGGGGTTTGGGCTCAGCAAGGTGGACTCCAGGTGGGAGTGCGGTTGGGAGGGGTCCCAGGGGGGTTAGGGGTGAAATGAGGGGTTTGGGGTGAAATGGGGGTTTGGGCTCAACAAGATGGACTCCAGGTGGGAGTGCGGTTGGGAGGAGTCCCAGAGGGGTTTGGGGTGAAATGGGAGGGTTTAGGGTGAATTGGGGGCTTCGGGCCCAGCAAGATGGACTCCAGGTGGGAGTGCGGTTGGGAGGGGTCCCAGGGGTGAAATGGGGGGGTTTGGGATCGGTTTTGGGGTGAAATGGGGGGGTTCGGGCTCAACAAGATGGACTCCAGGTGGGAGTGCGGTTGGGAGGGGTCCCAGGGGGTTTGGGGGTGAAATGGGAGGGTTTAGGGTGAATTGGGGGCTTCGGGCCCGGCAAGATGGACTCCAGGTGGGAGTGAGGTTGGGAGGGGTCCCAGGGGTTTTGGGGGTAAAATGGGGGTTTGGGGTGAAATGGGGGTTTGGGGTGAAATGGGGGGTTAGGGTGAAATGGGGGTTTGGGCCCAGCAAGATGGACTCCAGGTGGGAGTGCGGTTGGGAGGGGTCCCAGGGGGCGTTTTGGGGGTGAAATGGGGGGGTTTGGGGATGAGAAGGGGTCAGAGACACAACTGGAATGGGGGTGGGAGGTGAAATTGGGCTGGGGATTGGGAGGGTTTAAAGTTGAAATTGGGCTTGATGTTGGGAGGGTTTAAAGTTGAAATTGGGTTTGACATCCAGGAGGTTTTAAAGCTAAAACTGGGCTTGATATTGGGAGGGTTTAAAGTTGAAATTGGGCTTGATATTGGGAGGATTTAAAATCAGAACTGGGCTGGGGATTGGGAGAGTTTAAGGTTAAAACTGGGCTTGACATCCAGGAGGTTTTAGAGTAAAAACTGGGCTGGACATCAGTAGGTTTGAAAGTTAAAACTGGGCTTGATATTGGGAGGTTTTAAAGTTAAAATTGGGCTTGATATCCAGGAGGTTTTAAAGCTAAAACTGGGCTTGATATTGGGAGGGTTTAAAGTTGAAATTGGGCTTGATATTGGGAGGTTTTAAAGTTGAAATTGGGCTTGATATTGGGAGGGTTTAAAGTCAGAACTGGGCTGAGGATTGGGAGGGTTTAAGATTAAAACTGGGCTTGACATCCGGGAGGTTTTAGAGTAAAAACTGGGCTGGACATCAGCAGGTTTGAAAGTTAAAACTGGGCTTGATATTGGGAGGATTTAAAGCTGAAATTTGGTTTGATATCCTGGGGGTTTTAGAGTAAAAACTGGGCTGGGGATTGGGAGGGTTTAAAGCTAAAACTGGGTTTGATACTGGTAGGGTTTTAAAGTTGAAATTGGGTTTGATATCCTGGAGATTTTAGAGTAAAAACTGGGCTGGGGATTGGGAGGGTTTAAAGTTGAAATTGGGTTTGACATCCAGGAGGTTTTAAAGCTAAAACTGGGCTTGATATTGGGAGGGTTTAAAGTTGAAATTGGGCTTGATATTGGGAGGGTTTAAAGTCAGAACTGGGCTGAGGATTGGGAGGGTTTAAAGCTGAAATTGGGCTTGACATCCGGGAGGTTTTAGAGTAAAAACTGGGCTGGACATCAGCAGGTTTGAAAGTTAAAACTGGGCTTGATATTGGGAGGATTTAAAGCTGAAATTTGGTTTGATATCCTGGAGGTTTTAGAGTAAAAACTGGGCTGGACATCAGCAGGTTTTGAAGTTAAAACTGGGCTTGATATTGGGAGGTTTTAAAGCTGAAATTGGGTTTGACATCCAGGAGGTTTTAAAGCTGAAACTTGGCTTGACATCAGCAGGTTTTAAAGTTAAAACTGGGCTTGATACTGGGAGGTTTTAAAGCTGGAATTGGGTTTGACATCCAGGGGGTTTTAAAGCTGGAATTGGGTTTGACATCCAGGAGGTTTTAAAGCTGAAATTGGGTTTGACATCAGCAGGTTTTAAAGCTGAAATTTGACCTGACAGTAGTTGTTATAAAGCCAAAAGGAGCCCTCAAGCCGGGCCTTACCGAGCTCTCTTCTCCCCACAGGGGCGACCACCGGCAGGACCGTCGCGAGAGGCCCTACTGAGCCCTCCCCACCCCCCTGCCCCCGACCCTCGTTTTTATTTGGTGTCCCCCTCGCCTCTCCCGCGGGCTGACCCCGCTTTTAACCCTTCCCCACCCCCAATAAAGGCGTTTTTGGGGGGAAGGAACCGGCGCTCATCATTGGGGAGGGAGGTGGGGCTTCTGTGTGACCTCATTAGGGCCCTAATGAGGCACTTCCGGCCGTCGGGCTCATTAAGAGGCTCATTAAAGAGCTCTTAATTAACCCCTGACGTGGCCCCTTCCGGGGCGAGGGGGGGGCTGAGTCAAAGGGGCACCTATAGGGGCACCTATAGGAGCATTTTGGGGGGTGGGTTTAATGGGTGCAGGGGGTCCCGGGACACCCGTGGGGGTTTTAGGGAGGGCGTGGGGTTGTAGAGGGATCATTTATGGGGTGGGGGGCTCTGTAGGACCCCTGGGGGGGGGTGGAAACCCCTATTGGGGCACCTATAGAAGGGACGGGCCCTTTAAGAGACGGGGGCGTGGCCAGAGGATGAGGGCGTGGTTTATGTAAATAGACCATGGGAACGGCGGGGATACATCAACACGGGGGCGTGGTTTATGTAAATTCGGGTGTATTGAGCCGATGGGCGTGGTTTATGCAAATCGACCATGCACGGATATATCAATAGAGGGCGTGGTTTATGTAAATTAGGGGCGTGATGAGCGAATGGGGCGTGCCCAGAGGGAGGGGCGTGGCGCGGTGCAGGTGAGGGGCGCGCAGGTTTCCGTACAGGTGTGGGCGTGGCCGCGGGGCAGGTGAAGAGGTGAATGTCCAGGTGGGTGGGCGTGGCCGCGGGGCAGGTGACGGGGAGGAGGGGGGAGCCCCCGGGAGGTGCCGGCGGCCACAGCGGCCTCAGAGCGATGCGGCGGCGGCGGCGGGAACCGGGATTGGGGCCGCGATGGGCGGCGGGGCCGGGGCTGCTCCTGCTGCTGCTGCTGGTGGTGATGGAGGGTGAGTGGGGGGCGCGGGGGACCAGGAGGGATGGGGAGGGTCTGAGGGGACTGTGAGGGGACAAGGGGGTTTGAGGGACAGGGGTCTGAGGGGACAGGGGACTGTGAGGACGAGAGGTTGAGGGACAGGGGCTCTGAGGGACAGGGGACTGTGAGGGGACAAGGGGGCTTTGAGGGACAGGGGGCTTTGGGGGACAGGGGGACTATGAGGGACTGTGAGGGGACAGGGGCTCTGAGGGACTGTGAGGGACATGGGGTGGCTTTGAGGGGACAGGGGTTCTGAGGGGACAGGGGACTGTGAGGGACAAGGGGGCTTTGAGGGGTCTGAGGGACAGGGGGACTATGAGGGACTGTGAGGGACAGGGGGCTCTGAGGGGACTGTGAGGGGACATGGGGTGGCTTTGAGGGGACAGGGGGGTTCTGAGGGGACATGGAGGTTCTGAGGGGACTGTGAGGGGACAGGGGGTTCTGAGGGGACATGGAGGTTCTGAGGGACTGTGAGGGGACAGGGGGCTTTGAGGGACTGTGAGGGGACGAAGTGGGTGTGAGGGGACCGTGAGGGAATAGGGGGGTGTCTGAGAGGATCCTGAGGGGGTGGGAGTTTCTGAGTGGACCGTGAGGGGACAGGGCGGGTCTGAGGGGACCATGAGGGGATAGGGGGGTGTCTGAGGGGACCGTGAGGGGATGGGGTGGGTTTGAGGGGACACGGCAGGACAGGAGAGCGGGAAAGCACCGTGAGGGGATGGTGGGGGGCTCTGAGGGGACCGTGAGGGGACGAGGGGGGTCTGAAAGGACTGGGGGGACCGTGAGGGGACGAGGGGGGGATTTGAGGGGACACGGCGGGACAGGAGGGCGGGAAGAGACCGTGAGGGGATGGGAAGGTGGGCCTGAGGGGACCGGGAGGGGCGGGATTTGAGGGGACACGGCGGGACAGGAGAGCGGGAAAGCCCCGTGAGGGGATGGAGGGGAGGATTTGAGGGGACACGGCGGAACAGAAGGGCGGGAAGAGACCGTGAGGGGATCGGGGGGATCTGAGGGGACATGGCGGGACAGAAGGGCAGGAAAAGACCGTGAGGGGACGGAGGGGAGGATTTGAGGGGACATGATAGGACAGGAGGGCGGGAAAAGACCGTGAGGGGACATGGAGAGTCTTTGGGGACAGTGAGGGGACAGGGGGGGATTTGAGAGGACATGACAGGACAGGATGGCGGGAAAGCACCGTGAGGGGATGAGAGAGGGCCCTGAGGGCACCGTGAGGGGACATGGGGGGGAGTTTGAGGGGACAGGACAGGACAGAAGGGCGGGAAAAGACCCTGAGGGGATGGGGGGCTCCTGAGGGGTCCGTGAGGGGACGGAGGGGGATTTGAGGGACAGGACAGGACAGGATGGCGGGAAAGCACCGTGAGGGGATGGGGGGGCTCTGAGGGGACCGTGAGGGGACATGGAGAGTCTTTGGGGACAGTGAGGGGACAGGGGGGGATTTGAGAGGACATGACAGGACAGGATGGCGGGAAAGCACCGTGAGGGGATGAGAGGGGGCCCTGAGGGCATCGTGAGGGGACGGAGGGGGATTTGAGGGGACAGTGAGGGGACGGAGGGGGATTTGAGGGGACACGGCGGGACAAGAGGGCAGGAAAGTTCCGTGAGGGGATGGGGGGGATCTGAGGGGACAGTGAGGGGACAGGGGGGGATTTGAGGGACATGACAGGACAGGATGGCGGGAAAGCACCGTGAGGGATGAGAGGACCCTGAGGGCACCGTGGGAGGGGACATGGGGGAGTTTGAGGGGACAGGACAGGACAGAAGGGCGGGAAAAGACCCTGAGGGGACGGGGGTCCTGAGGGGTCCGTGAGGGACGGAGGGGGGGGATTTGAGGGGACAGGACAGGACAGGATGGCGGGAAAGCACCGTGAGGGGATGGGGGGGATCTAAGGGGACCGTGAGGGGACATGGAGAGTTTTTGGGGACAGTGAGGGACGGGGGGATTTTGAGGGGACAGGACGGGACAGAAGGGCGGGAAAGACCGTGAGGGGATGAGGGGGCCCTGAGGGACCGTGAGGGGACAGGGGGATTTGAGGGACAGGACAGGACGGGAGGGCGGGAAAGCACCGTGGAGGGGATGGGGAGGTCGTGAGGGGACAGGGGGATTTTGAGGGGACAAGACGGGACAGGAGGGCGGGAAAAGACCGTGAGGGGACGATGGAGGCCTGAGGGGACCGAGAGGAATGACG